ACTGCAAACCCCTAAACCAAACCGAACCATATCCTCACTTCAATTTCTCATTAGCCAGATCCCTTTTTTGTCCACAATGACTCTTAGACCATCTTGCCCAATGGAAGGTGTGATGAAGGGGAGGCTACACTGGAAACAGGTGGTGGTCTGTACAAAACATCTCGGGACCCTGCTACTCCTTCACCAAGCTTGGGAGGGGCCCATGTACATGAGAGGCCTGAAGTTGAAGCTTTATTACGTTCACAGGAAATCCACTTCTGTAGCCAATATTTACTGAACGCTTGTGTTAGGTCCTGGGCTAAGCTCTTTATGTGAATGATCATATTTGAGCTTAAATTATGATCCTCTAGGTGAGTTCTATTGTGATCTCTATCTTACAGATGAGAAAACAGAAGCCCAATATAATTCAAATATGTTTGGCGTGTACTGATTGAGCCTGAATTTTATTTATTTATTTTTGAGTTGGAGTCTCACTCCGTCGCCCAGGCTGGAGGGCAGTGGCACACTCACAGCCACCCCAGCATCGACCTGCTGGGCTCTGGCGATCTTTTCACCTCAGCCTTCCAAGCAGCCAGAGCTACAGGAGCGCCCTACCATGCCTGGCTAATTTTTGATTTATTGTAGAGACGAGGTCTCGCCAACTTGCCTGGGCTGGTCTCAAACCCGCGGGCTCAGGCAACCCACTCACCTCAGTCTCCTCAAGTGCTGGGATTACAGGCTGAGCCACCGAGCCTGGCCTGAACGCTGGATTTTAAAACCAATAACAATGTGTGTATTATCTTAAATTTACAAAGGATATGCAACTCTATTATGGGTGTTTTACTTACAACAACCTTCCAGGCACAATTCCTATGTCCATTTCATAGAGATGCAAACTGAGGTGAAGCACTGAACTGGGACTGTGGTGAATACCAAGAAGTGTAAGGTACATTCTTCACACTCAGGAGACCGAGTTCCTCATAAGGGCTAAGAAATGCTTTTAAGATGGAGACAGTAACCAAGGATACTGGGAATATTAATGTCACATGAGAGAGGAGTTCTGGAGCACTGTGGGTAATGGGCACACAGGCTTTGAGGTAGAGTCTACGAAGTGGCCCCCCCATGCATTTGAAATTTGAATATCACCTAACACCTCACCTAGTAAGGATGTAGTTCCCTTGTGCTGGGTTAGTGTGGCCTCTTTGGACAAAGTCATGGACAATTAACAAACATTTATTGAGGGCCTTCTGATTATGACTCTGAGCTAGATTCTAAGACTTGCCTTTGAAGAACTTCAAGTCCCGCCAAGAAGAAAAGTCAAGTAATGACACTAATGTTAACAACCGTGCCAATTCTTTGAGAATCAGTCACCCTGCAAGGCACTTTCCCCCTACATTATATTGTTCAAGCCTCAAAACAATCTTGTGGAGATGAGCATTGTTATTCTTTTTAACAAGCGAGAAGGGAGAGGCTGTGAGCTGCCCAAGTCCACAACTATTACGTGGCAGAATGGAGCTTTGAACCAAAGACCTGCTGTCTCTGTGCCTACATGCTCTGGTTAACGCTATAGAGTTACAATCTAGAAAAGGTCCAAATAGGTATCCTGGGAAGCCAGAGTGGAAAGGGCAGGAAGACACCTGGTGGGAGGCCAGAGTCAGTTCCTCAGAGACATAGAGCCTCAAACTCAGGGGGTGGGGCTGATTTATCCTGGCAGAGAGACGTAGGGAGGACTTTGGGATGGGGGTAGCATGAACAAAGGCAGAAATTGACAGGACATTGGGGTAGTGCACAGGACAGGGCTTGAGCAGAGAGTGTGAAGCAAAGATGGGGGATGATTTATCCCTATGTATTTGATGGTTTTTAAAATACTATTGTAAGATAGTACATTTTTGTATTTTCCAATTTTTTGTTACTGATATACAGAAATGCAGTTGGTTTCTGTATATTTATTATGCATCCCATGACTTTGCTAAATTCATTTATCAGTTCTGGTCGTTTTTAGATTTTCTTGAATTTTCTATAGATACAATTATATTAGCTGAGGAGAAAGACAGTTTTTCTTCTTTCTTTTTCTTTCCTTTCTTTCTTTCTTTCTTTTCTTTTTTTTTTTTTTTTTTTTTTTTTGT